GGCCCAGCAGACAGGTGATCTGATCCTTGTACATGGTGACATCAAGTCCCTTGACGGCTATCTTCTCACCGCCCGGAACCTGAAAGACCTTACGCAGTCGCTTAACTGTGAGGGCTTCACCGCGCTGTTCTTGTTCACGAAGGTCAGCGCTGACCGGTTCGAAGTTGGGGTTCATATCAACAGCATGCCCTCCCCCCACGATACCGTCCACCGCGCTCTCGACAGTTACTTGCTTTTGCTTGCGGCTCCGCCAATACGATGGTGAGACGGGGAAGTACCATTTGAGCGACGTGCCGTATTCCTTGGGCATAACCTTCTCAAAGTAAAGACCGAGAATTGTGTACAGGATCGTGTCAAAGACAAACATCATCAAAGCCGTGCTGAGACGATAGTTGTCACTGAGAGTGTCTATCGTCGAGAATTGCACACCCTCGCCAGTTTCTTCAGCATTTGCCAGCACGCCAATTCCAAGGCAAAGTGCCGCGGGAGAAAGCACGAGCCGATGGTCTTGGCACTTTCGGCTGTGCCAGTCGAAAATCCTTGCGAAACTGCGTACATGGCAAAGAATGCCACCAATCCCACGAACGCACCGGCACGAGCCTTGCTGAACAGAGTGCTGATGAAGAAAGCCAACGCCAGCACACTCAGTCCAAACAGGAAGAAAAAGAGGAAGGTGACGATCAATGAACTGTTGGGGAAGAGTCCTGCCAGACCGGCGAGTGCTTGGACAACAGCACCGACAAAGAGAATCGCTGCGTACGTCATGTACCACGTCAAGGTGATGGTCTTCTCAGTCACACCGAGGATTTTCATAAACTCTCGTAGACGCAGCTCCTTTTCTTGGATAAGCACCACTAAAATTCGCGAGATAGTGAACAGATACACCATGATAAAGACGATCGAAAAGACACTGGCCACGTTCGCGTAGAATGGAGAGCTGGTGTAGTCGTCAACAGGAAACGGGGCGACCGTAGCTCCCATGATTGGCTGAGGCGCTTGACGTAGCGGCGTTAGAAGAGCTTCTCTGGTACTGCTCGATAACGAGGCCAGAGCAGTCGACAGAGCAGCACTATCGGAAAGGCCCAACCCATTGAGCGCCTCCTTGATCAAACCATCGTTGCTCAAAACATCGAGAAGAGTGTCGTCAAGCTCTGTTGATGCGACTGCGGTAGTCTGTGAGCGCTGACAGATGCACGTAGTCGACTGGTTGGCAGAGTTCCATTCGGGCATACACGTTACAAAACGGGTGACAAGTGTCTGGAGAGTCATGAAACCTGTTACAGTGTACGCACGCAGTGTAGTAGTCCGTAACAATATCCTTCTGGAACGACTCGACATCCACAAGACCACCATCCGTGGTCGGCACGCGACCCACCGAGTCTCTACCATCACCTCGGGTTGCATTTAATCGCAGCGAGTACTCAATGGATCCAAACGTCCCGATGTCATCTCCCGACGGAGCCGAGTCAAACACAATCGCGGCGTATATTTTGGGGCTGCCGACTTTGTCGCCGTACGTGTTACTCTTCATATAGTCCGTCAGTGCGTCGTTCGTGTCGAAGAACTGGATGCTTTCCTTGAACGACGGGTTCGTCAGCGTCTCGGTCGTTGAGTTCATCAGATCCAGTCGAGGGTACCACAAATTCATGGCCTCTGCGAAGTAGTTGCGAGTGAAAGCATTGTCCGGTGCCACGCCAATCTTGTACGGCACAACCTTTCCGGCGCACTCAGTCGGAACGCTGAAGGGCGACGACGTGTTCGTATCGACCAGACCTCCAGCCAGCACTCCTGCCCGACAAGCAGCCAGGTCCGAGGCAGACAGATCTTCCAACCGCAGGCCATCCTCGATAGACTAAGTTTTAGCATGAGACCGGTCATCGTGGACTCGTACATCGCGAATTTAGGCAAGTCAACGTCAACCCACTCGAAGCTTGGCCCAGTCGGCTGGAACAGGTTGTACCTGGTGCTGGCGGTATTGTCAGCGTCATCACTCCAGCCGGCCGGTACGTCAACAGTCTTCGTGATAAGCTTGAAAATTCCAAGCAGTACTATGAAGAAGGTGGGCACGAGGATCTCGCATGCGGTAGCAGCAGGCTGGCGCTTCTTGATGAGCCAGTTCTTCCACAGCAAAGACCGGCTGAACGTCCAAAATGTTTGTTGCTGAGCCAGATTTTCAGTGGAGGTGTGCATCAGCTTTGGAGAGCCATCTAAAAGACTTGGTCGGTTTTTTTCGTTTGTGTGGGGGTTTTTTTATTTCGGGATGTTTGCAGTCGAAGTGTGCAGTTGGTGGTCGATTGAGGAATGAGGAAAGCAAAGTAATCGTTTTAGTTTGGCAAGGACAAGGAATCCATGTACTTCAAAGCCACGAAGGAGTCTTACGTTTGTGAGTAAGCATATTGGTCAGCCTGTTCACTACCATCTGCCTTGATGCATATAACAGAGATCATTAGACCCGGTATTAATTGTAATTTGCGTAAAGTGATTGAGCTTGTGCTACAAAAGGAAAAGTGTACCAGTACTAATGTTTAAGTATTGGTCCAGACAGTGTACTTGAGTGCAGATCTGAGACCGGCAGAATGACGGCTTTTATTTTAAGCAAATATTAATGTCGAGCCCTGCATCAAAATATACTTAAATAACTTTTTTATTGTCGTGTGCATGCCTCGATGATGACCCACCCCAAGTACCTAACGGAGCCACCAGCGGATGTGTCAGCGACGCGCTATTATAACAATATCCTTTAAGCAACTGCTCTTCCGATGCGACCTCCACAGGCGAATATACTCTGACTATTGCCCAGTACTAACCAGAATCACAACCGAACTGAAGAGAAGAAATGATTGGATTTGACTAGAGTTTGAAACATAATAAATCCATGACAATTTCAACTTAAAGGGTCAATTTTTTAAAGCGGAAATAATTTGAAACAAAATAATTCCATGAAAAGCTCAGCTAATAAAAATTCAATTTTTAAAGTGGAAAAGCTCCTGTAAAAGTAATTGCACGGATGTCACTGAATAGAAGCCCGTGCATACGTGTAGTTTTGTTAAAACCCTTCACATTTTAGAAAAAAGTGAGCTATTATGGTTTTATGCGTTTGGCAAGTCTGGTTGTTGTTAATATTATAAAATAAGGTTGTTTTAAATTTCGAGATTAATAAAAAACAAATCGATCTAGGTAAAGTGGCTAATGGGGGTTATCACGGCTGGAAAGTATGTTTGACCGGCCAATCAAATCAAATATTCGCGTCCCGTTGTTTTCACTTCTTTAAAAAAAGTAGAAGGTTGCAAAACACCAGTAAAGGCACGCTGTGTGTGACGGGGTCACACAGCACCTTTCGCTAGAGGAAGTTGGCTTCCGATAGTATACAAACTCTCAGTGAACGGCAGTTCACAGGTCCCCTTTACCTAAAATGCGAAGTGACCAATGTTAGGTAAGTTGTAAACTGAGTATATTTATAGGTAGGCTAAGCTTGAGTTAAATATACAAACTATAAGTCACCTATATAAAAGCAATGTCATCAGCCAATGGTTGGCCTCGGACGACCCTGGTACCGTGTACCAAATATCCCGAAGTATGACGTGTCACACTTGATAGAGGTCACGGGGTTTTAGGCAACGTTGGGCTTGTACGGAGCGAAGGGAAGAGTCACCACTCGGGGAGTAGACCGGAGCGAAGACACTTGAGGGGAAGAAGGAAGATTCCGAAGTGATTGATTTATCGGAGCTTACAGAGTCCTCACTACCTAGGTCATCCAATCAATTGGTGCATCCAATCACCAACACTCTGCACTCGTCCAATCATCCTACTCGTCTAATCAACGTACCGTAATTATCGCGGGATCGTGTTGGACCGGTTTGGCTACCGGTTTATGGGTACTTACCGCCTGAAACTGGTACCCCTCAATACGCCCCCTCAATGCGAACACGCGTTGACTCCGAGCGCCGCCGTAAGGTCCTTGTGACGTGGCCCCGGAAGCGGCTTCGTCATGATGTCTGCCAGCATCACAGAGGTCTCACAGTACTCCAGCTTGACCTCACGCGCTTGACCTCATCACGAATGTGATGGTACTTGATGTCGATGTGCTTGGTCCGACCATGGTTCACTGGGTTCTTGGTCATCTTGAGGCATGACCGGTTGTCTTCGATGATCTTCAGCTCTGGTCCCGATTCCCCTGCTGCCGTCAAATCTCGCAAAGTAGGCGGTGAGCCCACTGGGCTTCTTGAATAGCTAAACTTAGCGCGATGTATTCTGCCTCGCTTGTTGACAACGACACACTTGACTGCTTTTTGCTCCCCCAACTCATGGGTGCGCTCATCAAAAGAAACGTGTAGCCTGAAGCTGACTTGCGATCGGAGTGGTCACCAGCCCAGTCTGCGTCAGAGTACCCGCGGAAATCCACTTTGTCACCAGGCTTGAAGCAGATTCCATACGACTTAGCTCCTTGTAGATAGCGAAAGATGCGCTTTACAGCAGCCCAGTGCTCGACTTGTGGGCTCTCCATGAAGCGAGAAACGTATCCCACGGTGTCCAGTCGTGTCGCGGTCATCAAGTGCATGAGTGCACCTACAGCCTCGCGGAACGGAGCGTTCACCTTGGTCGATGCACTGCTTGGGACTAGTCGAGAGCTCAAATCAGCTGGACTCACCACCGCCTTGCACTCATCCATACCAAAACGCTTAAGGATGTCGTCGACATATCGCGCTGCACATCGTCACGCTCCTTTCCGCGTAGTACACAATTCGATGCCCAGTACGAACGCACACTTGCACTGTCGGTCATCTCGAAGCGCTTCTTGGGATCGCTCTGGTGGTTGCAATAAGCTCGGCCGAGCTACCAGTCAGCAAAACGTTGTCTGCGTAGACCAGCAGAAGCACACAGTGACCATCCACAATCTTGATGTAGAGACACGGATCGTATGCTGAAACTTGAAAGCCGATGGACCACACGTAGTCGTTGAACGTCTCGTTCCACACGCGCGATGCTTGCTTGAGACCGTAGATCGCCTTCACCAGCTCCAGGCAGTCGAAGTCATCATCAAGTTCGACACCTTCTGGCACCATGCAGAACACCGCCTCTTTCATTATGCCATACAGAAATGATGTTACCACGTCCAGCTGGCCCAGGGGCCAGCCGAGGTACACGACCAAAGCAATGATCATGCGCAGCGTCACATACTTCACCACGGGCGAGAACGTTTCGGTGTAGTCAATGCCATACTTCTACTTGAAGCCTTTCGCCACAAGGCGCGCCTTGTACTTCTCGATTGAACCATCCGTTTTGCGTTTGATCTTGAGCACCCACTTCGTACCAATGGCCCGTTTACCGCTTCTTGGAGCGTTGCCGGTTCAGCTAAATCACCAGCTTCCACTGCGTTGGCACATGCTCGCCAAAATACAGGTGGAGTTGCGTCATCGCCGTCTTGATCCTCGACATTTTTTCTTCTTCATCGGCCACATCACAGTCGTTTCGCACACCTGATCGGCGCTTTGTTTGACGCTCAAACGAGGTTTCTCGAGCACTAGCTTCCTCCAAACCGGCAGCCTGCTGTGCAGCGCGCGATCTCGTAGTCATGCCGTGAACGTTACTTGTGCGGGACTTGCGTTTCCCCGCCTGCTTGAATTCCGTTGGACCCGCAGTTTCGGTATCGTTGATACTGAGAGAGTCGAGGTCGAGATCAGAATCTGCGTCGTCGTCGCTTGGACTAGCCGTTGAAAACCCAAAGTTTAATTCGTCGAAATTGACATCGCGACTAATCACCACCTGCCCCGCCTCGATGTCATAAACTCGATACGCCTTTGACACTTCTTCATAACCCATAAACAACCCTTCTCGAGCCTTGGGGTCCCACTTGAGTCTCTTTTCCCTCGGAGTTAGGACGTACGTCCGACAACCAAACACACGCATGTGCTTCACACTTGGCTTGGACTTGTACACGATCTCATATGGAGTCTTGCTTTCGATCTTGGGTGACGGTAGACGGTTCTTAGCGTAGATAGCGGCCATCGCCGCTTCGCCCCAGAAACACTTCTCCAACTTGGCATGGTGCAACATGCTGCGACCAATCGTGACGATAGTCCTGATAGCTCGTTCTTCAGTGCCGTTCGTCTGGTGCGCGTACGGAACCGTGGTCTGCTGTTCGATGCCTCGATCTTCGTAGAACACCTTGAGTGAGTTTGTCGCGAACTCACGAGCTCCGTCATGGCGTACGAACTTGACCCGCTTGCCCAATTGCGTCTGTACCTTCGTGATATAGCTCTTGAGGCATTCTTCAGCGTCCGACTTGGCTCGTAAGCAGAAACCCTTCATGCATCCACTGGCTTCGTCAACAATGAGCAGCAAGTACTTGCTCCCACCCAACGATTCTTCTTTTATGGGGTCGCAGATGTCGAAATGAAGCAACTCGAACGTGTCGTAGCTGCGTTTGTCGCGGTTACTGGGGAACGACTTCTGGACCATTTTCCCTCGCTGACACCCGCGACAGACACTTTGCTCACTTGACTTCAAAGGTGCCTTGGCATCCTTGATCATGCCGTTGTTGACCATCTTGCGTAGCACGTCGATAGGAGCATGGCCCATGCGCGCGTGCAAGTCAACGTTCGACTTCGAAGTCACTGCGTTTATCGAGCATAGTGGTGTGCGCAGCCAGTTAAGACCGTCTACGAGATCTGCTGTAGCCACCACTTCCTTCGAATCCTTGTGCGCAACGTGCATGGTTTCACCGTCGAACACCACTTGAAATTTGCCGCTTTTGTTGATCTGTGGCACTGATAGCAAGCTCTTCTTCATCTTCGACACGTAGAGCGCGTTGTTGATCTCGATCTCGCGCTCATCGCCGTTGGGCAGAACCATGCGCTCGATGATGGTCCCCACACCCTTGATTGCAACGTTCGTGCCATCAGCGACCTTCAGCTCGCCTTCCTCTCGTTCGTTCAGCATGAAAAACTTAATCTTGTCATTGCAGATATGGTGTGTCGCACCGCTGTCGACTGCCCGCAGCCCGGACATACTCTTGCCCGTCAAAACTCCACATTCCAACGAAACCGCAAATGCCACGCGATCATAGCCGTGGTCGTAGTCGTCATTTCGCAACTGGACATTGTTGGCCCCGCGTCCACGACTGTTGCCGCCGCGTCGGCCTCCTCGATTCTCATCCTTCTGCTTGGTCCAGCACTTCTCAATCACGTGCC